AATTCTATCACTCCAGTTACTGAGGCAAGAGAACAAGGCCAGTCTGGACTATATAGTTAGAAATTTCTATATAGTTAGAACTTTCAAAAATTAAAAAAAAAATATGTATTTTGTTTGTTTGTTTTTTCATTTCTTTATTTTTCTTTGAAACAGGGTCTCCCTGTAGCCCCACCTGGCCTGGATCTCACATAGATCTATCTGCCTCTGATCCCCAAGTGCCGGTATTAAAGGTGTGTGCCACTTTACCCAGTTGATCTTCTTTAAGGGAGCGACTCTAGATAGGCTGACTAGACTCCTATGGATGAACTCACATCTCACATTAAGGGACAGCTGGGTACAGAAACTTGACTCAATATACTTTAACATGTAACAGAATACATGAAATCCAGTGAGCCGCAATAGCAGGCTACAGATAGGGGAGGCAGTCTAAACATTATTAAGATTTATTGTATGAAATACATAAAATTCACTAAAATTTTCAATAAACTATCAATAATCATTGATAGTTGATACTCAAAAATGATTTTATTCATTCAGCGTGTAAACTTTGGTGATTTTAAACTTGCATATACTTACAACCAACAATTGAATTAATGGATTCATACAACACATTCAAAAGTTTTCTTCTCTACTTTTTATATTTACATATAACTTTTAGTCCTTAATACATTAACAGCACTCTATAGAAATCTTATTTTTAAAATGACTTTCAGGCATAAGCACAAATACTCCTCAGCCATCCCCCACATCACACCATGTCAGGGACCATGAGTCTTTAAATTAGAGAGAAAGCCCATGTGATGTTTATGACAACTTTGCTCATCACAAGAGTGTCTTTAAAAAACCCATGCACTTCTTTCTTTATCATTAAGTTTGGAGGACAGAGAAAGCACAGTCCCTCAGGGGATGACAGCTCTGAGAGTCTTCAAGTCTCTAGTGAAAGCAGAAAACCGTTTCCTCATATTACTTCTGGGAAATTGTTTATGAGTCTGAGAATTAAATACCACCTGCACACAGGTGCGAAGAGGGGATGAACAAGTGTCTCTGAAACAAATGCTGGGAGATTCACCATCTTTGGATTCATCTCGTAATGTTTTCTCAGTGAGATCCACTAAAGAGGAGAAAAACCTTCAGTCTGTTACTCACAGGAAGAAACAGGTCAGCTCACCTTTGGAGCAGGAGGGGAAGAGATTGAACCTTCTCAGGGGAACTTACACTGGCAGGGTTTCTCTGTGTGCTAGTGCTTCTTCAAACCATGCCCTTGTTATGTTACAATTTCGAAAAGGACACACAGCCCCCAGGTTTAACTTTACATTATTGTCAATCAGAATTCAGAAAATGCTAGGATTTGAGACTTGTGGAGAGTTCTTATTCTCCATCCGTCCAATTCACAGATAAGGAATCTGTATCAAATACAGCACCTCACACATATCAAATAATTCATTACTGGGAAAGAAAAGCTACAACTGGCTTCTCCAGATTCTCATCCCAGTGTTCTCTTCATGTGAACTTCAAATCCAGGTGATATTTATCAATCTAAAATATATCAGTCTAGTATTTATGTCCACAGGATAATGCTTTTGCTGTTTTTTCTTAAACATTTATGTTTTCAGTTATCAATGTGATAAGCTCAATATTCTACCATTTCTTCAAGAGTCATATGGGCTGAACATCAGCTACTTGAAACTAAAAGGAAAAAGAATAAAATAAGTTTCTTTTTTCATTTACTTTGCCTTCATTAAGCCTTGAGTTTGGATACTATAGCCTAGTCTCTACTTCTGTTATCCTCTAATGGAAATGTCATAGATTGAAGCCATGTCTTCATAAAGGTTACACAGCTATGAGATAAAAATCGAACATTTTTTGAAGATTTTTGAGTGTAAAGTAATCTATTGAGATAAAGCATTAATACTTTACACACAATGGCCAAATACATTAAATTCTCACCATCATTGCAGTCAGCTTTATATGTAGCTCAGCTGATTTTTGCACAGTATGTTGAGATAGATATTTTTCTGACCCATTAGCAAGTGCAAACCCATGACTCAAAGAAGAAAAAGAGTGTGCTAGAAATTAGCAGTGGCAAATGCTAAAGCCTGAGTGTGTCTGTCCACCACACAAAGAACTAGAAACTTACCTTATGATAGGTGAAATATCTTTTATCTGCTTTATCAATCCAAACCTGGAATCTATAAGGATGGAAGGAATTCTTTTCTCATGACATTTTCTACCTGAGAGGCACATATCCAGCTATGGACCCAAGGTCTAACACCTGGTGTTACAAAGTATCTCTTGCTCCTGTAAATACTCTAGTCTGATACACCTGCAATTAAAAATGATGTCCAAATATGTGTCCTTATCTATATACTTATGAAATTTACTTCTATTTTTCAGTAATTGTATTATTTTCATTCTTTCTTGCTGAAGGGAAAGGACAAGCCAACAAGTGGTAGACTGTTTTCTTCCCATTTTGTGTGTATGTGTACATGGTATGTGAGCATTTATATGTGTGAACATTGGCGTGCCACAGTACATATGTGGGCATGTATGGAGGTTCGAGTGCAGTCTGGAGTGTTGGTCCTTGACTTTCTTCTTGTTTGAGCCAGGTTCTCTCTTTTTGTTGCTCACCTCTATGTATGCTAAGCGAGCTGGCCCATGAGCTTGCAGGGACTTCCTTGTCTGTCTCACATCTCACTTAGGATGACTGGGACTACAGATATGTACTACATCTGTGGATTACGTGACTGATGGAGATTTTAATGTGGGTCTTTATGCTCAGCAGTTTACCCGCTGAGCCAACTCTTCAGCCTTTCTTTCCTCCTCTTCCTCCTCCTCCTCTTCCTAATCCTTATGCTCATCATCCTTCTACTACTGGTTGATTGTTTTTAAATTCCTGTGTGAAGTATCAAGGGGAGAAAATGAACACAACAGGGAAAATCTGCAGCACCTGATTCAAATCTGATTCTAACTAACTTAACATTGAAACTTTGTAAATCCTCTCAGTTAAAACTTCTGTTGCCTAAAGAACCTAATCTATGAAATAATGCATGGATTCACATGTAGTAATAAACCGATTCAGAAAAAGGGAGAGTACTCTATGTTGCTGTGCATTTAAATTTTAGGCAGCCATACTGAAAATAATTGAGTATAAAATTTGATATGTTGTAGTACATGTGTATAAGCATGAAATCATCTTTACAGAGATACCATAAACTAATTGATTACATGCAAGAATTTTCTTGGGGCTTTGGGCACTCCCTCCCTGCTTCTCTTCTTTAGACACACACAAGAATCAAGTAACTGCTGTCACTGTTGATTATAGCACATTTTTCATACTTTCTATAACTGGGAAACTGTGTTGTTATTCTCTAGTACAATTATTTTTATATTCATCTTTTAGGGCACACATAACACTAGTCTTTTTGTCCTTTTAACTGAGAAGTGTTCCGTCATCTGTACATATTGTGATCTAATAGTCTTGTCACCTAATTATGAGCGGTTAGATTCTTTCCACTTTTTGATGGATGAGTCATGAAGTCAATATGCATACATTTGCTTTTATGAAAAACTATCAGAGTAGATGTAGTATTTTTCATTTCCACTGGTAATGATTAAAATTCTAATCCTTCCATTTCCTTGCCAACTTCTTCCTCTCTTTTAACATGTAGTCAATCTAATAGACATTTATCAATACTTCACTATTGCTTAATTTAAATTTACCTAATATGAATATTTGAACATTTTCTCTTTTAGAAATATAAAATTTATATAAAGCTACCCACAAAATTTTGTGTAATCAAGAATGATACAGTTAGCATTAGCTTTGAAAAATGCCATGACAATGATTTAAATATTATTTTCAATTGCAGTGTTCATCTACCTTTATTCTCTTAGAGTAACATTTAAAAATGAATTTTTATGCTCTAATTGAGACACACAGGGAAAACTGGCAATTTCTACAACTATATTTCATATTCAAACATCACCTTTAACAAATGTCTATGGAAATCTCTGGCTCATTTTGCTGGATTTTTTTTGTTCTAAGTTTTCAGATATTTATTTGTTGCAGGTATATTTTTTTAATCAAACAGGTGCTCTCCAAATAATTTCTCAAAGGATAATTGTTTCATTCTGTTTCCTGACTCATACTGAAGGTCACGATATGCACGATGAACAGAGAATGAGTTGAGCATATATAGATAGTTTTAAAAACCATAAATTTCTAGAATAGCACATGATATCAGATACCCTTCTTTGTTTGAATGATTATATTCTTGTGAAAATCAAAAGCTAGGGGCATAACTGTATCATTTTCAATCTTGGATGCAGTATCATGTACTATGCAGGTCCACAACCTGTAAATGAGACTTCATCTCCCTCTGCTTCTCTTCTTTCTTCAGCAGCAAACCACTTAAAGCAGATACAGTCCATCCTTTCTTTAAAGAGGCATTTTACTCTTCTAAATTACCTTTTACCTTGTCTTGTTTGATTTGATTTTGTTTGCTTTACCCACTTTCCTGAATTCTACAATAAAAGAGATAGGCATCTATAAGTATAAGAATAAAAAGCTTGACAAGTAAATTTATCTGTGTTTTGTTTCAGAAAAACAGAATAAACAGTCAAACCTGCTCTTCTTTGCTGATGAATAGGATGGAAAATGGCTCAGACCAGGTCAAACAGCCAACTCTATGTGATAAGTGAACTCAGAGTACCAAAGTCATTGCAGAAGCAGAACTTGCTGTTCTCCTGAAGCTAAGTATCTCCCATTGTGTGTAGACACCTGGAGAGGACACATAATCATCACTTTTATCAGGTATTTGAACCACTGCAATAGTCACTGAATTGAATTAGCAGAATGGTTTTTGAGAATCACCCAAACAATGCTTTTTTTTTTATTTTAAAATGTCTATAGTATCCTGGGCATGTAACTGATTAATATTATTTTGAATGCTTCCAGTGACAGGGAATTTACTACACTCATCAATAAACCAAACCCAGGCGTACATACCAGTGGAGTGATGAATAAAGAAAACCATTCAACTGTGACAGAGTTTATCTTTATGGGCATCACGCAGGACCCTCAGCTGCAGATCATCTTTTTTGTGGTCTTCCTCATTGTTTATCTGGTCAACGTGTTAGGAAATGTTGGCATGATCATCCTGATCATAACAGACACTCAACTTCACACTCCCATGTACTTTTTCCTCTGCAACCTCTCCTTTGTTGACCTGGGCTACTCCTCAGCCATTGCGCCCAGGATGCTGGCTGACTTCCTAACAAAGCATAAAGTTATCTCCTTCTCCAGCTGTGCCACCCAGTTTGCTTTCTTTGTAGGTTTTGTGGATGCTGAGTGCTACGTCCTGGCTGCCATGGCCTATGACCGCTTTGTGGCCATCTGTAGACCCCTCCATTATAGCACTCTCATGTCCAAGAGAGTCTGTTTGGTCCTCATGCTGGGCTCTTACCTGGCTGGTCTAGTGAGTTTAGTTGCCCACACGTCCCTCACTTTCAGCCTCAGTTACTGTGGTTCCAATATCATCAATCACTTCTTCTGTGAAATCCCACCACTCTTGGCTCTCTCTTGCTCAGACATCTACATCAGTGAAATATTGCTGTTTAGCTTGTGTGGCTTCATTGAGTTCAGCACCATCCTTATCATCTTTATCTCCTATGCCTTCATCCTCATTGCAGTCATCAGAATGCGCTCAGCTGAAGGCCGCCTTAAGGCTTTCTCCACCTGTGGGTCTCACCTTACTGGGGTCACCCTCTTTTACGGCACAGTCATGTTCATGTACCTGAGACCAACATCGAGCTACTCCCTGGACCAAGATAAGTGGGCCTCTGTGTTCTACACAATTATCATTCCCATGCTGAACCCCTTGATCTACAGTTTGCGGAACAAGGATGTGAAAGCTGCTTTCAAAAAATTAGTTGTGAGGAAGCCTCAATAGTTACAAGAATCAAAAATCTTCTATTCCAGAGGAAAATAGAAATAGAAAAAGGATAGTAACTGAGTCTATAACATGCAAACAACTTTTCAAAAATAAATATGTGCACTTTCTTTGAGCATTCCATGCAGTGTATTTTGATCATATTCACTCCCAACTCCTCCCCTTAACTCCTCCCAGATCACCCAACTTCCTTACTCCCCAGCTTTGTGTCCTCTTTTTAAAAATTTAATAATCCATCCACCCCAATTTGTGCTATCCATGTGCTTCTGGGTGTGGGTTCATCTACCAGAGCTTAGTTAACCTACCAGGAACCACACCCTTAAAGAAACTGACTTTCCCTTTCCCGGAATCCATCAGCTGTCAACGGCGCCACAGTTCGGGGTAAAGTCTGATGAACCACTATACCCTAGGCTGGATATTAACTGACTTGATACTGTGGGGGTCCTGGGCAGACAACCATGGCTACAATCAGTTCATGTGTACAGTTGTCCTGTCATGTTCAGAAGGCAATTTTGCTCCTGACCTCTGACTCTTTCATACTTCTCTGGCTCTTAAAATCTTTCCTCTGCTGCTTTCACAGTGATCCCTGCGGCTTGGGGAAGAGGTAAGATATAGATGACCCATTTATGGCTAAGCTCTCCAAAGTCATTTATTTCCTGAACATTGATATGTTATGAGTTAACCAATATCTACTACACAAATAAACTTACCTGATGAGGTCTGAGAGCTGTACTAATCTGTGGGCAGAGAGATACAAAAGACTGCTGCTTAAGTATCTTTCATGCAACTAAACTTCATAGAGTTGGAAACATAAACCTGCTCTCATCCTTGTTGGGATTTGATCTGTGCAGGTCCTACGCATGCAGTTACAGGCACTGTGTGTTCATGTGTGCACTGGCAGATGTCTACCACCTCTGGTTCCTACAATCTTTATGCCCTCTTCTTCCCTAAGCTTTGATGAGGAAGAGGTATGCAGAGACTAAGAGACTGTGGGGTGGTCAACTTTAAATGGGATGCCTTTCAGCCTTTTTAAACTTTATTCCACTAACTCTATAATAGAATATAAAATCATATTAAGTGATGTTTCTTAAAAATCAATAAAAATTTGCATCATTGCCTTAGTAACTCTAAAGGAAGCAAACTTGGTAAGAGTAGAGATTTCAAAATGACATAAATGTAAGATTCAATTTCAAACAAAATATAATTAAGACTTGATGGACAATATAAGATATAAACTTGGTTTTATGGAGTTCATGCACCTAAGAATATGCAATAAATTATCTTGTGATCACAGGAAAGCTAGTGAATATTAAGAACAAGTCACAAAATACTTTGCTGACTCACACAAAAAGGACAATACATGAAAGAAGAGGAAAACTTTATGTCGGGTGGGGCATTTAAGCCATCTTAAAAGCTTGAGCCAAAAAATGAAAGAGAATATGAGATAGGGAGTATGTGCTGGGGGGGCGGGGTGAAGCACAGTATCAGAAGCAACAGGGTCCACCCAGAGGCCATTTGGAATGAGTACCCTTTTGGAGGGTGTGCTGTTGAAGTTGAAATGTACACCAATGATGTAACAATTTAAGACAGAATTTATCCCCTGGGAAGCAGAGTTTATTTCTCATGGTTTCACGAGAACACACCTTTGCTCCCTGAGGTCATATTCATATACATCCTCACAGCAACTGTTGAAAAGACCAGAAAAGCAATATAGCCATTAAGCTTATAAATCTGAGTAGAAAGCCAAGCATGGTGGGTACTTGCCTTTAGTCACAGGATTAGGGAGGCACAAGCAGGTAGGACTTTGTATGATCAAGGTCAGCCTTGTGTATAGAGCAAGTTCCAGGCCAGCTGGGGCAACAGAAAATACAAAAGGGATGTCTCAAAGACGAAAAAGTTCCTAGGGTGCTGGAGAGATGGCTCAGTGGTTAAGAGCAATGACTGCTCTTGCAGAGAATCTCAGTTTGGTTTCTAGCTAACAACAGTCCATAACTCCAGTTCCAAGGGATCTGAGGCCCATTTCTGGACTCCACAGGGTTGAACTTACATAAATGCAGCAAAACACACATACATAAAGTATAAATAAATAAATAATAAAGCTTAAAAATGAAAAAGAAAAATTGAGATTTTGGGTACTGAATCTGGTTTAATGGAACCCACGCTATGTTTCTAATGCAGTTTTCTTAAAAGCCTTACATCTTGCCATTGTGTGGTCGTCTTCCTTTGGAAGACTTTATGTTAATTTACACCTTTAGCCCTTGTGTTACAGATCACTGGTGTATCCCATTTTTATCCCTCTTCTCTAACTCTGGAGCTCTAAAAGAGCCAAAGTCCTTTTCTTGTTATCCTAGTTCTACTTCCCTGAGCCATCTGTCTAGTTTCCCTCTGTTTCCCTTCATCTATCAGATCCTCCCATCAAACTATTTTTTAGATGGCTCTGATTTTCCCTGTCTCTGTATACTTTTCTCTTCCCTCTCCAATTCCTGCTTCCTTGATAGCCTCCATTCCATGATTAAGGAAATCCATACTCTTTTTCTTTATTGTCATGAGATACTTTTTATTTAAGCAAATTGTATACTGCTGAGACAAGATTTGAAAGCAAGTAAGACTCATTTAACGCAATAGTCTTTAAAACTATTACCAAACACTTTGTAAAGGAGTTCCAGATCAAATATCCCACCAGAGCATGTAAGACTTATGGCAGCGTACTCCTCTTCTTTTAAGAAACAGATTAAATGCCACTCCTCAGAAAGGGATCTAATAGACTGAGCTCATAGAAAACACTCTCCTTATACCAATAAGATATTATCAATTTAAGGATTTCTGTCTCATATGTGTGATTATTATAGTCATACATAAATATGCATAAATGCTATTAAATGAGAGGTATTTGAGTTTTCTCTACAGGGTAACAAGCTCATAATGGACACTTAAGGAATGTGGGTTAGAAGAACAGAGTGGGAACTGTCTGTGGTTGCCTTGTTTTACATAACTGTGTGTATTGCAAAGCAGTGCAGCACATGTGACAAGCTGTAGCTGGAATTAGTGATATCGAATTGGTTTAGTCTTTATGAGAACAAGTAAGTATTCACTAGAATTGGCTTTAAGAGGGTATGTCAGAGACCAGAGCTAAAATGAGTGTTTAGTCAAATTGGGTAGCTGTTGATTGTCCCCAAGATAAATCTGCTACTACTGCACCATTGACATATGCTATGCTGGCCATTGATGTGGTTATTTAGTCTCAAAGCTGGTGTTGGATCATCCATTGATGTTTTCCCTTGGCATCTTCATAACGCTCTCCAAAGCTATGAGAGCTAGCCTTCAGGGGAAGTGGTTTCAGGTCATTTGCATCTCTATTGCTCCAAATCCAGTGTCAGAAGTATGTTCTGTCTTCAGCAGCAGTATCTTACTTCCAAGCTCTAGGAGGCCATGAAGGGCTGTACCATAGCCCTTGAAAAGATTTAAGTTTCAACAATGCTTACAATTTGCACTATTATTTATTGCCAACATCCTTATGAAATTTAAAATGTTGATTTTAAAAGTATTTATTTCTCATCTGAATGTTGTGGCCCATGGCTTCAATTGCAGCACTCAGGAGGCAGAGGTAGAAGGATCTCTGTGAGATCAAGGCCCTCCTGGTCTACCTGGTGAGATCCAGGCCAGCTGGGGCTGCAGCGAGATTCTGTCTCAAAAAGAGAATAAAAGTAGTCATTTCTATCTTTGGATATTATAAAACTTGTCAGTTTGGTCTTTAAATTCTGAGGCCACAAAAGTTATATAAGTTGTTCCCAAGAATATGTCTTGACACAGGATAATTCTGTTTATCACTATGATAGAAATACCTTCAATTTTCAGATTTCAAAAAATGCCCTAAGAAAATATAAAAAGTGATTGGGGTCAAATTATTTCTTAGCACAGAAAATATTTCGTGTCAATTTTTCAACAAAATTCTTGAAAGCCTTCAGACATTTGAACTTTGTAATTGTTGAACAATTCATTTATGTGGTGGAAGAAGACACAAGAAAACCTATTGAAACAAGTCAAAGGGAAAAAATCTGAAAATTAAGAAATTATCAATGTTGCTTAGGAAATTACTTGTACTCTCAAATTCACTTTAACTGTCATGTGATTTAGTATCTAAAATACTGTAGCTAAATTATTTAATAATGTTTATAGAATGTCAGCTCACCAGATAATTTTTAACTAAGAAATCATTTGATAGTTTTAATCACAACTTATAATCATTAGCAACTAGTAATTTAGTTTACATAAGGATCAGCAAACAGAATAATCTAATAATTGTTCACTGTGCTACTCTGCTGTTTTAGCAGCAGCTCAATGATTTTTGACAGGAGTTGACTTGTTAGGACAATGCAGAGAATATTGGGGAAAAGCAGAAAATGACACTTCCCACCAATGTGAGTCCTAGTGACAGTAAGGATAATAACTAAGGTTGTTATTAATTTGTGTTATTTGCTTTTCTTTAGAACACAAATTGAAGCCATTAACGTTAATGTGAGGTATATACATAAGACATATTCCACTTTAAGAAAAATACTGTTCATAATATTACATTTTAAAACATCAGAAACAATATCTGTATTAATTTATATTATCTTAATGGGAGAAGAAAGAATATTCACCTTTGGGTAGGGTGATCATACTGATAATAAAGGTTTAAAGTTCAAAATGCATTCCTCTTTTTATGCTTACCAGAGGGTATACAATGTCTTTAGATAATCCAATATTAAAATATGTCAATCACAGCTTTAATGTATTTTGGAAGGCACTAATAAGAAAGAAAATTAGTGGGACTTCACCTTTGATTTCAAATAAGTGCTCTTAGTTTTTCTTCTTATAGAAAATGCTTAAATAAGTTTATTATAAATATATGTAAACCATTCATTTTTGCAGGTTTCAGGTAATGTCTAACACTCTGTGAGCAGAGGACAGTAGAGATCATCAAATCTTCAGTCATGACATCATCCATTCAAGTTCTTGGCACAAATCTTCACCAGTGAGATCACAGCACATCTGCATATGCCACTGGTGC